TTATCTATCTGCCGCTGGCTTTCTTTGCCAGGCTTATATATACTAAAAAAAAAAAAGAGTGCATCTAGATCACATTCGAGCTGGCGGGCAAATTCATGATCCTTCGAGAAACTCCAGCGCGCATGTTCCCAGCGTCGCGTGACTCCGCTATCGTAACAATACCAACATTTTTATGGTATACCTCTAATTTAACTGCCTTTCCGTTTACGTTAACAATGAGCATTCTTTTTTTAATGCCTTATTTTGGGGCACTCCCCACTACAATATGATAGTCGTCGTGGAACCTAAAACCAGCATTTAGTCCTATACATTGTTTATCATAGTATTGGCCGAAAAAAACAGAAACTAAATCTACTAATCGTTAACAACGTGCCGCAGATTTAACTAAAACAGACAATAAACTGTGTAACTATAAAATTTAGTCCAACTTAAGTATTGCTAAAGCTATGTTTTTTTATTATGCCAGAAGTAAAGTTTTATATTGTTATAAGCTATATTTTTAATGATAAAACAAAACACGAACCTAATAACAGGAAGTGTTTATTAAAGGTTTCGGAATCTTCATAATTCCACCATCAGTAGTCTAGAGGTAGAAAACAAACAAACAATATTTGTAATTACAAAAGAAATATGTACATAAGAAATAAGCAATTCGAATATACAAATATGACACGATAAAATGAAAACTGAGGCACAAGTGAAATAGTTAAAATAGGTTTAAATCCAGTGAAGACTGTGTGTTATTTAGGGACGAAAGAATAGTATTTATGTATAATGTTACTTTTATAAGGTGTTCAGTACCATGTTTGGATGTTAAAATAATTTTACAGTTTGAAAGAGAAATCGAATGTCATGTTTCTGTATTGTGTTGATTGACAACGGAGTTAGGAGGGTTTGTAACCTTTCTTCTAGGTTTTATAGATAGGCCCATGTATTTACATATTTTGTACCTCTAGATTACAGATGATGGAATTATGAAGATTCCAAAACGTTTAATAAATGCTTTCTGTTATTACGCTCGTGTTTTGTTTTATCATTAATTTACGTTTTCCGAAAAGTCGATTACTACTATATTTTTAATTTTCTTGTTTGCTAGAGGGAGCTGCTACCTGTGTTGATGATGTAATGATCGAGAGACTGAGAAATATCTAGAAGAAGGATTAGTTATAAATGCGAGATTCAGCTAGGTCGTAGTGAATAGTAAATGAGTATGAGATAGTCAGTTCAGTTCAGTGAAGTATTTGGATCTGTATTAGTGATCACGTATGTTCTGTTATTAGGTCAATAAGCTTTGAAATTGCACTAGTAAGTTTATACCATAGCGAGATATTTCCAATTGAAAGTCATTTATAAACTTAGGCCTACAAATCCCACCAGTGTACAAGCTTGTGGAAACGTTAAAGAAAAAATAACTAATCTTTTATCGTTACGTGGAGCGATCTTGGCCTCATTTTCCCCAAATGATTTAAAATAACCAGCCCAACAAAAGAATGAAGTTCTAACAATATGGATCATTCATCAAAAGTTATGGTTGAAACAAAAGATAGATCTGAAATGCTATTTTTTAAACACCTCTGATTTCGAACCGCAATGAACAAATTAAGAGGAATGTAGAGGAAAAAATATATAGTTAAGTTGTTTTTATAACAATGAAACACTCATGCGTGACCACAGTATTACTTCTTTAAAAAACTCCCTCTAAGCTACATTTTCGTGCATAATTATAAATATATATATACATTCACGTAGTTATTTTGTTGAAGGAATGTCACGAAAATATTTCAAAATTAAGTTGTTTTTTACGAGTTGAATGTGTACTAGAAATTAAAAACGCCTGTAAGTTTTAACAAACTAAACTTTAGGGTTTGTAATCTGAAAAGTTTGATAACATGATTGTGCTGTACTAATTTAACTTTAAGGTTTGTAACTTGAACAGTTTGATAAAAAGATTGTGTTAAATCACTTGAATCCCCAGTAAGATAAAAACAAAATCAAGAATACCATACTGTGATTTGTGTTTTCGTCGTTATTCCTCTCTGCATGTTCCTGTATTACAATCTTCAATACTCACTACAGTCCCATTTATAAAATTTTAAGTAAGAGACACACGTAAATCAGAATTAGAGTTCAGAGAAGATTGTAATTAATATCACGTTGTAATATGTTGGCCCTTCTTTCTGTCTCTTCTTTTTAGCAAGTTGTTATATTTGAATAGTGTAGGATTTAGGCCAAGAACGATGGCATAGAGCGTGAGAAAAAGAATTTTGAACATTTTACTATAAAAATATATATTTTTCAGAACTTTTACGCCCAAAAGAAATAAAATACACGTATTAATATAAAAGATAAGAAACATTTTATTGCTCAAAACCTTTGAGAAGGTATGGCCTCTCTTTCTTCCTCTAACGAGCCGCCATTGCTCATGAACCACCAAAAAGTTGTTTTTGAACCTGTATGAACATGAATGTTAAGTCATAATGTGTTTTACAAGCAACTATTATTTCGTTCCTTATAGTTGCTAACACGATATGAGTTTCTGTATCATCTTTATGATCAACTTTATAGTTGCTAACACGATATTAGTTTCTGTATCATCTTTATGATCTACTTTATAGTTCTTAACACGATATTAGTTTCTGCATCATCTTTATGATCTAACTTTATAGTTCTTAACACGATATTAGTTTCTGTATCATCTTTATGATCTACTTTATAGTTGCTAACACGATATTAGTTTCTGCATTATCTTTATGATCTGCTTTATAGTTCTTAACACGATATTAGTTTCCGCATTATCTTTATGATATACTTTATAGTTGTTAACACGATATTAGTTTCTGTATCATCTTTATGATCTACCTTTATAGTTGTTAAAACGATATTAGTTTCTGCATTATCTTTATGATCTACTTTATAGTTGCTAACACGATATTAGTTTCTGTATCATCTTTATGATCTACTTTATAGTTGTTAACATGATATGAGTTTCTGCATTATCTTTATGTATCTACTTTATAGTTGTTAAACGATATTAGTTTCTGCATTATCTTTATAATCTACTTTATAGTTGCTAACACGATATTAGTTTCTGTATCATCTTTATGATCTACTTTATAGTTGTTAAAACGATATTAGTTTCTGCATTATCTTTATG